CAAATATCTCCGGAGAAAATGCACTAACGGCCCTGCTGGAACCCCTGGACCGAGACGAGGATATCCTGGAGTCACAACGGATCAGGAGGGAGTCGTTAACAAGACTCATTAACTTGACAATAAAGACCACCTATTTCACATTCAACGGAAACATCAAGGAACAAATATTTAAACTTCCCATGGGATCACGGCTCTCACCACTTTTTGGCAAACGTAAACATGAACAAAATAGAAGATAGCTTCAAGACGGCCCTGCTACAACCGACATTGCTCATGCGGTACCTGGACGATTACTTCGCACTTTGGTCACATGGAAGAGTTTTTGAAATTTGCAAATCAAATTGATGGAAAAATTCAATTCACGATGGAAGTAGAGGAAGGTGAGCGGTTACCCTTCTTGGGCGTTGAAGTGATTCGTTCTGATGGGACGCTCAAAAAGAAATTGTTCAGAAAGAAGTCCTATGCTGGGATAATACTCAATTTACGGTCCCATCACAATTACAGACGGAAGATTGGAATAATGAGGAACATAATCCTTCGAAGCCTACGCTTAACGGATGTAGAATTCTGGAACGAGGAGCTGGACAAAATGACGAGGATATTGCTCGGCAATGACTACCCAAACGAAGTGATACAAAGAAAAATACGGGCCGTGAAAAGCCGATTGCAGAACGGGGACTATGAAATAACAGAAAGGACGATGAAGGATTCACAAAAGTGGATATGCCTACCTTCCTGTGAACCAACTCAAAAACGACGGCCAACATTGACGAAATGGAATATTCGGGTGGTCATGAAAGAGAAATTAACACTTTTCACAAGTCTACCGACGCAACATGAAAGGGTAGACAAATTGGATTGTTCAAAAGTTTACTGTTTATCATACGACGCCTGTGAACCTAAATATATTGGCGAAACAGGGAGAAAAATTAGCACACGAATCAAAGAACATCAGAGACTCTGCTGGAAAATGGATACTGAAAGATCAGAACTAGCGGAACACATCGCACGGACTGGACATGAGATCAATGGGAAAGCAAACAGAAAGAAGAGCTCCATACAAGGACAACACAAGGAAGCGCAAGATTAGGGAGGCCGTTGACATCCTTGGGGAGAAAAATGTAATAAACAGGAGATTGGAGGAAGGTAGAGTTAGCGGTAACTGCCTACTACTGCCTACTGCCTAAGCAAACTCGGGGAAACAAGAATAGAGCAAGACCAGCAAAAAGGAGACGCCTGGATCAAGGATCTATCGTTAACTATAGAAAATAATATCGTGGTGATAGCAGGTGGGTGAGGTGGATTTTCCGCAATCAAGCGAAGACGTCGTCAGTGAGTGATGTCCATTTTGAATAAACCAGTACAACTTTGGGGCCTGGCAGTCAAGAAGCTAGGAGGATGGATAAGCAAACCGTCACAGAAATTCGAAGTTATGGCCAAAAGGGACTAGAAATCCACTTGAGATGCCGCATGCGAGCAGAGATAGGCGTCCACAGTTTGCTCACATAACATGGGTTTGATCAAGGAGACGACCCGTGAAGGGAAGGCCTGATATCTGCAAACATAGGCGCTCTGCTCAGTGAAGTGGCAGTGTACGTGCTTCTAGGACCTTGAGAAATAGCGCCTGAAGTGAAATGCGCATTGGGCCTGGAACCGAGTGAAATCGGTCAACCAGAAAGATAAGAAACGGATGTACGAGACAATGAATGGATCCCGATTGGAGGCCCGAGTCGGATCAGCTGATCGAAAGAGAGGGGTCGGGGTGAATAGCAGGCGTGATGAGGCCACAAGTGAGAAGTTGCGGTGGTGCGGCAATGGGATTAGAGGGTAAAGAGTAGATAGATAGACAATGACAGAAAGAGGAGTGATAGTGTAACCGTTTCCATCAGAACGGTTGTCGAGGGATTGACTTCACTTGTCTCTGTGACGAGTTCGTTACTTGGTGCGGAGAATGGCAGCACTCATTGACGATGCCGACTACGATGCCGGCGAAACGTTTGAGAACGTACCAAGTCCACCGTCTGATGCTGGGAATCATGACAACTACTATGGCAGACGAATTCGGACTAGGTGCGTTCTACTAAGTCGCCCTGACAACAAGACCAAGTTGCGACAAAGAGGTCAACCCACTTCTATAAATCGAAAGGAGACTGCGACCATAACAGAGGCCG